TGGTGGTGGTGATGGTGACGGTGGTGATGATGGTGATGGTGGTGGTGATGGTGATGATGGTGGTGATGGTGACGGTGGTGGTGATGGTGACGATGGTGGTGATGGTGATGATGATGGTGGTGGTGATGGTGATGATGGTGGTGGTGGTGATGGTGATGATGGTGATGATGGTGGTGGTGGTGATGGTGATGATGGTGGTGATGGTGGTGATGGTGACGGTGGTGATGATGGTGATCATGGTGGTGATGGTGATGATGATGGTGGTGATGATGATGGTGACGATGGTGATGATGGTGGTGATGGTGATCATGGTGGTGGTGGTGATGATGGTGATGGTGGTAGAGATGGTGGTGATGGTGATGGTGGTGATGGTGGTGATGGTGATCATGGTGGTGATGATGGTGATGGTGATGATGGTGGTGGTGGTGATGGTGATGGTGGTAGAGATGGTGGTGATGGTGATGGTGGTGATGGTGGTGATGGTGATGGTGATGATGATGATGGTGGTGATGATGATGGTGGTGATGGTGACGATGGTGGTGATGGTGACGATGGTGATGATGGTGATAAAGTGAAAATAATAATGCATCTTATAAAAGTTGTCTGAAAGATACAACAGGTTTTCAGCAAATACTACCTGTTGCTAAGGGGATGGACATGGTGGTGGTGTCGATGATAGTGATGATGATGGTGGTGGTGATAACAACGTTTAGTGTTTTTGAGCATGACACCAAAAGGCTCATGTTGGCACAGACAGTCCTTTAGTCATCTTAGGAAAAATAGAGATATTTGAACCACAGTTAACTGATTTCATTAGATACTTACGGATGCATGCATACAGTGTCCTCTAGTATGCAAGCTAAAACTTGGTTTCTCCTAACTAGTTCCCATGTCAATTCATCAGGGCCAAACTCGCCTAAGCTCGCGTCTGTTGTAGCGTGGGTAAGGCTGCCTCTCTGTTGACCTTTGGGTGTGTGTTTGCAGTTCCTGCATTGGGGCCCAGGACCCTTACTGTGGCTGGGACATGGTGATGAAGAAATGCACGAGCCTGGAGGAGAGCCTGAGCATGACGCAGTGGGAGCAGAGCACCTCTACCTGTCCAGTAAGTGTGCGTGTTCTCCAGCCTCAGAAAGCACTGTCAGTGGGAACCCAGCTGTCCTAAATCCTAACCCATGTCCTGCTCGTGCATCTGGAACCTTCCTTGCAAACCCAGTCTGTGCTCTCTCAACTCGTTCCGCTCTGAGCTTTCGCTAGAGCCACACAGGATGTTGCCATAAGGTTTTTGTCTGCTTTGAAGAAACACATCTTAAGAGAAAACACTGCTGATTTGCAAATGGGGTGTAATTTCTCTGTTTCATTCTTGGGTTTTCTCTCCAGAGATTGGTGTGGACTCTTTTGCCCTTTTTAGCATTAATAAAATAGTGACTTCCACACCCATCACTTTCCCATGGGAGCTATAATTCTAGAAACTGAGATAAGTAGAGCTTTTAAAAGAATAAAATAAAGGATATTCCTATTGGGCCCCCTGTGGGACAGTCTCCTGGATCCTGCTCAGGGTCATGGGAAGGCCTGGGAGACAGACCGTGACGGCCATTCCCGCTGTGAACCCGCAGAATGAAGAGACTCACTTCCGCTTGGAGCCAGTTCTCTGAATCTAGGAAAACAGTTTCCTTTGCCTGTTTGTTTGTTTGAGGCCCCACTTGTAGGAGCCAGCTTATTTGTTTTCCTTTGTTTTTAGAACTCTTAATGCGTTGGACTCAAACTCTTTTTTCTGTCCTCAGACCATATGAGCAATAGCTGTTAACCTCCACGTATTTGAAAACTGATTGAGTCGCTGTGCTGTCACGTAGGTTCTGATCTCTGTGACTGTCAGTGCTCGCTCACCTCTGCAGGGGAGAGCTGGGAAAGAAGCAGCACGTTCTGTTACTTGAGATCCGCCCTCTCCCAGCAGAACAGCCCATGCCATCCGGGCAGTCACTCTGGTTCCTATCAAGGAACCTGCTCTTTTCATTACCTAACCACATGCTCATGAAGCCTATCCTTCAGCTTGTAAGGGGAACATCAGGCAACGTGACATGAGGAAGGCCAGGGTTAGTAAAACCAGCATCGTCTCCCAAAGGTGGGCCCGAGATCGAAGCTTTTTACCGCAAAGGTGTGAGGTCAGCGCATCCGGGCTCTGAGCAGAGCTTTACAATGGGGTTCACTGCTGGTCCTCTGGGTTATGGAGCTTCAGCTCTCTGAGTTTAGAAGCAAGGTTTTCTTCAGTGTTTCTTGAAATTGATTAGAAAAATGCCAGTGTTTGTGCCAAGTTCTCTCTCATTTCTGAAAATACTTTAAAAGCATGTTCACCTTAAATCTTTGCATCTAGAGAAAACATAAATGTAGCTCTAAATTACGGGCATGTACTTTCGAAGAAATCAGCACCATCTTCTCGTATATGTTTGACCTTGCATTTTTAATGTCAAAAAGGGCAGAAGAATATAATAACAGTTCTTCTTAAGCAGTAAGGCCATCAGTCTACGACCCGTGGTTTTGTGGATATCTGAGACATCTGCTTGTAAGATATCTAGATGTAAAAAGATAAACTGAGGCATGTTAAAAATCTTTTTTTTTTTTTTTAAGATTTTATTTATTTATTTGACAGAGAGAGACACAGCAAGAGAGGGAACACAAGCAAGGGGAGTGGGAGAGGGAGAAGCAGGCTTCCCGTGGAGCAGAGAGCCCGATGCGGGGCTTGATCCCCGGACCCTGGGATCATGACCTGGGCCGAAGGCAGACGCTTAACGACTGAGCCACCCAGGCACCCCGAGGCATGTTAAAAATCTTAAGAGTTTATTTGAACAAAAATCAGTTCCAATCAGGCAGCATCTAATCTAGCAAATGGAAAGGAGCTCTGAGGAGCTGCACAAAATCAAACACTTTCATAGATAGGAGTAAGTGGGAACAAAGAAGTTATAGTAGGCAAAAAAGCAGGTTGGTTATTGCAAAGTTACTTTCCTTAGCGGATGACAGGGGTCTGTCAGGCAGATGACCTAACTAGTGCTAATCAGGCATTTCCTGATTGGTTTAAGATTCCTTTTCTAGAAGAACCAAAACTGTAATTAAGTCAAGTCTCAGTTTGGTGACATGGGGCTTATTGGCATAAGAAGCTCCATTTTGAGTCTGTAGGTTTTTGTTGTTGTTGTTTTAGATCTATTTATTTGAGAGAGAGAGAGAGAGAGAGAAAGAAAGCAAGCATGAGTGGGGGGAGAGGCAGAAGAAGAGAATCTTCAAGCCGACTCCCTGCTGAGCTTGGAGCCTGATGCCCCTGGATCTCACATCCCATGAGATCATGACCTGAGCCAAAACCAAGAGTCAGACACTTAACCAACTGAGCCACCCAGCGCCCCTGCAGTTTTGTTTTTTAGCAACTATATCAATTGTGTATCTTTTTCCAAAAATCTGTCTCTTAGAAAGAAATGAGCTCAATGAAAATTATTAGCATTATTACAGAGCTGTCTTAGAAAGGTATTTTTAAAAGCTATTAAAATATAATTTTGCTTCCATGTTATTTTTTTATTTTGACTAAAATAGAAGAAAGGTTTGATTTTTATTGGCCAAATCTACTGCATTTCATCATTTCTGATATGCCATTGTTGTTTTATAAGGACAAAATATGCTGCCGTAGATTGCAAGATGCAAACTGATTTCAGAGATGTATACTATATGTAAGTATACATACATGTACATACACATGTATAGTGAAAAATCCTATAATCAGTTAAATAATTTTCTTTACCTACATATCTTTATCCAAAGGAAATTAAGCTTTATAAGCTGAGGGATTTTTGAGTGAGACCAGAGCATCTTATCTCCAGTGTAAAAGTAAAAGTTTAATAATGAAAGTGTAGATGCTACCATGTGGAGCTCAGTGGGAGTTAGGCAAACATGGGGTACAATGAGGGTAAAGCAGACTCTGTGGGAACCTACGAAGTAAGTGTTCATGAACTTCAGACCAGTGATGTAGCACAACCCAGTCCCCCAAAGTCAGTGCTGCAGTCGGAACCCAGGCAGATCCTCCGCTGTCTGGAGAGTTCCACTTGGTGATGGACCCCTGGAAACCCTCCCAGGGACTTAGTGCCCAAGAATACCTATTTTCCACTAAAAGATTCCTGTTTTAAAATGTTTGTGGATTTCTATCATCCAGGAGACAGGGCAATAGTTGACTGATGTATAGATTAACGTTCTGGTGGCTTATGCAATTGTAATTGAACACATTCTCTGTTTAAGAGATTTGAAGTACTCGAGCAAGATCTGAATTTACAGGTCTAGAAGGGATTTGAATATTATTTATGTCCTGCATAACTTGCAGTGTTGCTTTACAAGGATAGCATTGTCTTAAGAATCTCCCTGGGCTTTACTGATGCCCGAATACCATCCACATCCTTGGCAGGTGCGTGATCCCCAGTGTACTGTCTCGTACAATGACTCCCTGTTCCAAAATACATCATGCAACAACTAGGAAGATACGTATACTTCACGAACACCTCGATGTCTTGCAATAACTGGCTCTTTCCCAGGATGTTGTTTAAGTAGCACCTTTGCAGTGAAACGATACTTTGGCAATGATTGAGCCCAGAGCCCTCCATTTAGATAGCGGCACCATGGAGCACGGTCTAAAGGGTTTATAGAAGATTCTAAAACTACACTGGGAAAGAAATTGGGACTTAAATCCAGTGCTTCTGACATTATCCCCAATCTACAAGATAGTGACATTTCCAGCTGCCAACCTCTCCCCAGAGCAGTGACTGATGGGTGCACCCTCCGATAGGTGACCCCATGGTCACCTTGCATATTGTGCTCAGATAGCAGGTTAGACATTATTTCCGAATTTTGTACTGAAATCTACTGTAAAAGAAGGAAGAGGGAGCTGAGGTTAATTGTGTGTCTACACCATGTGGTGAGTGCAGTGTTAGGCCATTTCAATGGATTATCTCATTTAATGTCACGATCACCCTGGGGATAGGCATTAGTGCTCCCATTTTAAAGACTGCCCCTATTCGCCCGTCCTGTCATAGCCCACAGTGCTCCCGCTTACTCCTCTTCAAAGGTGCTAGCTTTCCCTTGTGCAGTTCGCTCATGGAGAGAGATTTAGGGATATTACACTGATACTGTAATATAAGACAGTCCTTTCCAAGGAGCACATCCAATATGCTGTTGTGTTATAATCACTGACCAAAAGGTCATGAACTTTGAAAATAAATGAAGATCTTTTGACTTCTGAAAAAACATCCCAGCAGAAGATAGAAGACTTTGATTTAACTATGAGGATAATAGTTGGAGTACAGAAGAACTTCCAGATATACTCCAGGGATCTCTGTACCTATCGAATGCATCTACATCCTTGGTTACTTGGGAATTAATGAATTGAACATGAGTGAATCAAATGTAGGATTATAGATTATGCTTGTTAATAAGAATTGAATCTTCCTTAGCTAGCACTTGGGAATCCATTATTTCCTAGGCGAAGGGAACTTTGCTATTATAACAATTAGGGATAAAATTGTATGGTGCTGGTTTCCATGAGACTCTCATCAGGGAAGGATCTGTGAATCACATTACGGAATGAAGCGGCTGAGATCACAGGCTCTGGATTAGCTTGTTTAGACTGATTCTTGGGTCTTTCACAACCAGTGAGACTCTGAGTAAATTGAGCCTCATCTGAACCTCAATTTGCCTATCTGTGAAATGGGATGTAGGTACCACGAACATTGTGAACATTGCAGAGTTAAGACATCGAAATCCCGCATCGCAGTGCCTGGCATACACTAAACTACCTATCTGTGAATATATTGTAGATAGCTTTATTTCTGATTTCTAAGGAACACTAACAAAATATAAAAATACTTACTCATGTGGGAAAGGGGAATAATAGAAACCTACCCCATTACTCACAGATCTGTTCCCTAGGCAGATTCTCAAACTAATATATTCAGCGTCAAAAGGAGGGTGTAATTAAATGCGATGAGAGTTTGACTGCCCACGTCCTTTTCTGCATGTTGCAAGTTCTTCTTGCTCTGAAAGTTAATGGAACCGACTGCAATGGTCCTGGGTAGAAAATACTGCCCCTCAAAGTCTGCAGTTACCCCGCCCCTGGCCAAAACAGAAAGCCCCCGCTCTTACCCTGCAAATTGCAATCATGAAATACTCGTACTGACAAGTGCCCAGCATAGTTCCTTTTCTTTCCAGTGTTTTTATTGCAATAACTGTTCTATGCTTTTCTTTTTTTTAAGATTTTATTTATTTATTTGAGAGAGAGAGAGAGAGAGTGGGAGGGTCAGAGGGAGAAGCAGACTTCCCACTGAGCAGGGAGCCCAATGCAGGGCTCGATCCTGGGATTCTGGGATCATGACCTGAGCTGAAGGTAGACGCTTAACCAACTGAGCCACCCAGGCACCCCCTTTCTATGTTTTTCTACCTCATTCCACAACATTCTTTCATTTATCATCACTTATTTCAGGTTCTTCCTCTTTTTCTCTGTCTTACTAGCTCATCTTTTGCTTATCCAGACATTTGGACAGAGAACATGCATAGCATCTCTTTACCTAGAGACTATTATCTTACACCAGTGCCCAAAGGTTGCAGGGGGAGGATGTCTAGTGCAGTGGGTTCTTTCTTTCCCTGTGCGTTTTACTGAGATAACATGTCAGCACCACATGGGTGAAGGCGTACAGCATCGTGACATCACTTGCCTAAACTGTGAAATGATCACCACAGTAAGTTCAGGTAACCCCCATCATCTCATGTAGATACCCCCCCAAAAGGTTTTTCTTTTCTTTGTGAAAAAAAAGATCTCCTGTCTTCGCAACTTTCAGAGGTCCCATCCAGCAATGTAAATGAACTCTAGCCATCGTGTTGTCCATGAAAGCCCCAAGACTTATTTATCTTAGGACTGGAAGTTTGTACCTTTTGACCTGCTTCCTCCGGTTTCTCTCCCCCACCCCCATGTCTGTCTCTCTGTCTACCTGCCTGCTTCTCTCTCGCGCTCTTGCTGTTTCTCCTTGTCTCTGTCCTGTATTGAGTTCTTTTCTAACCACCCCACTGATAAATTTAGCTTGCGCGAAGTTCACTCGGCTGAGTTTGACCCATGACCGTGCAGTCTAAATATGTTTCTCTCATAAACTGTCCTCTTTCAACAATCTGGATGATTTCTGTTTCCATCTCATTCATTTGTCATCATCATGGTGTATTTCTCCTGGCCTCACCAATCTTCAGTTTCTCCACAGTCTGTCCTGTCAGGGGTTTCAGATTTCCTCAAAACCTCCTGTAGCTAAAGAGATCCTAAAGAGTCTCCATGCGCATTTCCTTCCTATGTTAGAGGAAAGAACAGATGCCAAGGGGGTTTGAGAGAATCTTCTTTGCCCCAATCCTCTGACCTGTCGCCATTCTGCCCTTTTTAAAGTTTCTGGTTAATATTGTGGGGATCCGTAAACCTTCAAAAATCACAGTAGCGCCCCCTCCCTACCTTACCCCTCACATCTTCACACAGAAGAGAGGCGGGGGGACCAGATGTCTCACAGAGCCTCTCCTGATAGTGCTCTGAGCTGGGCGGTCTTCATCCCCTCCCCGTCCACTCTCTGCCCCATGGGCCTCACGTGCCCCACTTGGCTTGCCCCCCAGCCAGCCTTCCCTGTTGTCTTGGGTTCAGACCACAGGAGGCATGGGCGGGGAGCAGAGAGACTGGGGTCTTTCTTCTTGCCCTCCTCCAGCTTAGGCTGCAGCTCTGGCGGGGGCTTCCTGTCCCCGTGACAGCCCTGTCAGGCCGCCCTTCCCCGGGCGCTGCCCTTCACTCAGCCGCCATTACCTGACCTGTTCTCTATCCCCAGAAGGCCTAAGATACAGGTTTGGATTTAAAGGCATGTGGGGCTTTGTTGCCTTGAGTTCCGTGTTCGGTCACAGTGAAGGCAACGGCTGAGCCTTCCCTGCACAAGAGCCCTTTGGGCCAGAGACGAGAGCGGGTGAAGGATAGATGTGGGAACCCCCAAGGGACAAGATCTTTGCTGCTTGCAGGACACTTTCATGGGAGGAATTTGCTTGACTCTGTTACACGTGGCTCGGCTCTCCAAGAAAGCACTGAAGGCCCTGCAGAAACTTAAGGTCACAATAGGAGCTGCATTTTTATCCTGGCTGGACGGGGCTTACAGAGACCTTGGAATTGGGGTTATTTTCTTCTTGGGAAAAATCTGCCTTTGTGTGTTCACTCCCGCTCTGGGTCGGGTCCAGTGAGTCCCCTCCAATCCAGCTCCGTTCCCTCCTCTTTGCTTTTTACGGAGCCAGGCATGGCAGGGAATTCTGGATTTTCTTCCATCTTCGTGGATATAAATGGTTAGAGTATCGACAAGAATGGAGGAAGGAGAGCTCCGTACTGTGGAGGCTGGAGATGACCCACCAGCCACATCAGAGCCCGCGAACGTGTTTCGTGGGGACTCTTTCCTACTATATTTGGAGAAATGATGGGACAAATGTAAAGCTCACCTGTGTTTTCACAGGGTGTTGGCATTTTTCTGAAATGATGAAGTGCAGGTACAGTTTGTAGCCTCCAAAGAACGGATTGCTTTGTCCATGGAGTCCTCTCTTGTGAGGATGATGGGGCTTTCAAGGTGCCTTCCTAGATCCCGATCCTGGCCCTTCCCCCCCGTGCTTGCTGGCCAGCCAGCCCCTCTGCCGCCGCCTCACCGGGCTCGGAACTCGGTCCTTTGGGCCTTGCACCAGCGCGCGGGATCAGTGGGTCACTTCCATGCCCAGCCCTTGCCGACTTGCAGGCGCTTGCCGGTGGTCATAGTATGGCTCCGCCCAGGATGTGCCTACCAACTAGTCCAGTTCCGGTTGCTTTTTTTTTTTTTTTTTTTTATTTATCTGAGAGAGAGAATGGGAGACAGAGAGCATGAGAGGGGGAGGATCAGAGGGAGAAGCAGACTCCCCGCTGAGCAGGGAGCCCGATGTGGGACTCGATCCCGGGACTCGAGGATCATGACCTGAGCCGAAGGCAGTTGCTTAACCAACTGAGCCACCCAGGCGCCCGGGTTGCTTTAATAGGGCTAGAAATTTAATGTCCGTTTTTGCAGTGACATTTGAGCTAGGCCAGGTCTGAAATGGAACTGTTTGAGCTTTCTTTTTTTTTTTTCAAGGGACGTAAAAATGCAGCAGGGTTGCACATCTGTGATTTTTCACTCCGGTTCTGCTTGTTCTTTGGGTTTCTCACATTAGTGGACAATTCTGCAGTGACCTGATTGCTAAGCCATTGGCATTCTTCACGCCCCTCCCCCTTCGCCCCCCCTCCTCCAGCACTGTCTCCTCTTTAATGGTCACATCAAAATATTCTAAATGTGGTCTGATGGTGCCGTGAGAGACCTTTCAGTTTTCCTGTTTACAGCCTTAACCCTTGCTGACTCCTCAACTTGTATCCTCTTCCCAGACGAGGAATCTCACTGTGGACGGGCACTTCGGCGCATGGTCTCCGTGGACACCCTGCACGCACACGGACGGCAGCGCCGTGGGCTCCTGCCTGTGTCGCACCCGCTCTTGCGACAGCCCGGCCCCGCAGTGTGGCGGCTGGCAGTGCGAGGGCCCCCGCGTGGAGATCGCCAACTGTTCCAGGTGCGTCCCCTCCCCCACACCGGGGCACCCGCTGTGTGCGGGCAGACTGGGGAGGGGTGGGAAATCCTTCTTAGGGCACCTTCCCTTTTCAAGAGAGAGGTGGCAAAAGACAGGGACACTTATCACATAAAATTATGTGATCTATGGAAGGAGATTTTAAATTATAAATTAGATCATAAATCTAAACCTGTGCAATATGTTCATTGCTAGATTACTTTCTTTCCCTGTGCGTTTTACTGAGATAACAT